TATATAATTTATTATATATTATTTGTATAATTATTGTTATAAATATTTAATTGAATGGTGTATAAAAAAATTCGAGCTTATAAAAATTATATATTTTGAAAATTATATGATTGTTTGCAAGAGAACTTTGTATTTAGTAAATATTTTTTAAATTATTTTTTATTGATTGATTTTTTCTGTTCTGTTTTAATTTGGATTTTATATTCTTTTTGTTATAGAATCATCGTAGCAACGTTGCAGATGTAACTCCGCTGTTGCGCATCGAGTTGGTGAGTAATGAATTAATATTTTTATTGAAATAACAGATGTGTGGTAATTTCATTAATATACTATATGTATATATGCATCATTTAATAAAAATATACGGATAAATACACGTATAACATTCCATACATCCGTTGCCTAAAAATGAATAAGTTCTAACAGATTAGGATAAACTTAATCTTGGATATCTCTTTATTATGTAATTTATTGTGTATGCACTATTAAATTTATGTTACACCCAGTTTGAATTATTTTTAATCCGGAATAATATCTTATCAATGCTCACACGTAAAGTGTTAATATGGAATCAGTCAGCTAGGCATAGTAATGTAACAGCGATATCATTACACTTCCTAACACAATGATCATCGAAACGTTTTTAAGTTGTTAATGCATCGAACATCGAATTTCATCGTGAATATATTTATATATAGAGTGTCTCGAAAGTTTTTGCCAATCGCTTTTATATAGATAGAGCGGACTAAATTGAGTCGAAAAGTTCTCTACTATTTTGCAATTTTTGCAATAGTTAACAAGATTTATTATTATTAATTATTAAAAATCGCTAAATACTGGTCTTGAATAATTTTTTATTCAAAAAATATTATCAACTTTATAAAAAAGCTGCAAGAGACAAAAATCATTTATTTTCATTTCATAAAGTTCTGAGAATTTTTTCAGAAATTTTTCAGAATTTTTAATATCATATTTTCTCATGTTGATAAAAAAAAAATGCAGTATTAAAAAGTTGATAAAAAATTCTGAAAAAATTCTTAGAGCTCTATGAGAAGAAAATTAATGATTTTTCTCTTGCAGGTTTTTTGTAAAGTTGATAGTATTTGAAAAATTATTAATTATTGCGAAAATTGTAAAATGATAGATTTTTCGGCTCAGTTTAGTCCGCTCTATCTACACAAAAGCAATTGACAAAAACTTTCGGGGCACCCTA